AAACCCTGCTGCTTTTCACAGTTGGATATTATCTGAGTTCCCTTCTGGCTCTGGTACTGTAGGCTGGGGAGCCCAGCTTGGGGTTTACACCTCACACTTCTCACGGGGAACCCCACAGCCACTGAAATATCCCCCTACACTTCAGCTGCCACCCATGAAAGCCCAGCCAGCCCTCTCATGCCTCCTCCGCATTCCCTACCAGCCTTGTTGTGGTGAAGTGGTTTCTTATGTCTGTCTGTCTGTGGTTATAATGCTTCTCTCTAGCTTGTGTTCAGTGGGTTATTTACAATGATTTTTCTACAGTTTAGTTGTGATTCCAGATTCATCCTGGGAGGAGTTTAGTATAGCTTCTACTTACTCCTCTGCCATCTTGGACCTCATCCTTAAATACATATATTTTGGAAAAGGATAATACCCAACTCTGCTGGCTGCCAGTCACTAGGCACCAGGATTTTTCCCAGTCAAAATGAATTAATAGATAAGGAAGAAAAGTGCTAGGAATAAAAATCAGTTCACTCCCTCTTCATTTCCTGATAAGCAGCATTGTGGAAACAGAAGGGCAGAAGGAAAGCTATGGCAGCCAAACTTGGCATTTCAGGGTCTAGTCATCAGTTTCCTAGGTGCTGAGACAAAGTTGGGGCAGCAGAGATGCCAACTACTGGCAAGACTGTAGAGAAACAGGAACTTTCATTCCTTGCTGGTGGGAATTCAAAATGCTTGAGCAAAACTTTTCATAGCCTTCCGACCTAAAATCTCATCTTTTCTCAAATCTGAAAACATTCATTGGCTATAAGAGAATGAAATTATTACATGCTTCTTCTCTCTAATCATTCTCAACAGCCCCTTGGAAAGTTGCCTCATAACATGCACTTGCTCTCATCTTATATACAAATACATTTTATATACTGATTCATTTTTCGATTACATGTACATTACTTTTTTTATATTTTTGTGTTCTCTCAGCATGAAAGTTATGTTTAAATCAAGGCACACTTCTTTTTTCATTATTTTTGTATAATGCCTAATTTTAAATGATAACTATTCACTTAATAATGGTTTTTGAAAGCAATGATCAGTGTTTCACTGAAGTCTTAGTTGAATGAATGTTTTATGTGTTGAGTTGCATCTAAGGAAAATAGTACAGGTAATTGACATTTTCCACCAGTGCTATGTAGACCATTCTTGGAAACATGTACTTAATAGAGTTTTCTGACAGGCACATATATAAATAGGTAGGAAAATGAATTTCCAACCTGTTGAAACTATCCGTATTCTCCCATTCTTACTTTGTACACCAGGAGACTTGCACCAAAATCAGAAATGAGAACTGGAGTCTCTGTTCTTCATGACCTCTCCCCGAAAAACTACTCTAGTGTGACACCCCAGGTTTCCTCACCCAGTGGCATTCATAATTATCCTCTCTGTTAGCATCCTACTCACATTCCCCGTGATATTCTTGCTCCAGTAAGTATTTTCTGCAAAGCTTTGCTTTATCCAGACACTCCTAGGCCACACCCAAAACCCAAAGCAGCAGTGCGCACCTGGGAACCTTACTGCAGGGACAGCAGCAGACCCAGTCACCTTCATGTTTACCCCTGGAGTCCAGCAAGCCACCTTCATCTACTAACAGAGGCTTCTGGCTTGCCCATTGTTCATTAATGTGTTATTATAGCTGGCCAAATCACTGCTCAGCTCCATTTTATCACACTGGCAAGTACAATTTACTAATGTTTCAGACATAAAGGAACTGAAAACTAACAGATGAATTTTCAACTGTCATTACCCAAATTCCCCTGAGGCATATGCTGTATTGGATATTCAGATCAACTTCAAAGGCTGTGAAGAAATTAGTTCAGTCATAACTATCAACTTAATGATACTACAGAAGAACAAAAACTGATTGTGTAATTATTCAAAATATCATTTTGAAGATGAAGCTCTTTTGCCTTATCCTCAGTTAAAATATTCTGATTGGGTTTTGGCTTTTCTCAAAATGACGCTATAAATCTAATTCATCTAACTGATACTCAGTGAAGGGACTATTTTTTTAAAGATTTCATTTATTTATTTTTAGAGAAGGGAAGGGAGGGAGAGAGAAACATCAATGTGTGGTTGCATTTCGTGCGCCCCCTGCTGGGGACCTGGCCTGCAATCCAGACATGTGCCCTGACGGAATCAAACGGGCGACCCTTTGGTTCGCAGACCGGCACTCAATCCACCAAGCCACACCAGCTAGGGTGTGAGTAACTATTATTAAACATTAAGTATAGTATGTTTCATAAGCACACAGATGCTGAACCTATTAAAGCTAAAGGTACCAAAGTGTTGTTGCTTTGGAACTTAGTGCTACAATGCAAGCACACAAATTTTAACTTCTATTACAAATTAATAATTGCAGATGAATAAAAATGCAGATTATACCAATAGAAATTTCAGTTTTTCAATAGGAAAACTGAGTTATTTCTTAATCATTCAAAAGTATTTATTGAGTGCATACTTAGTGCCAGGCACTGGGGACTTGGGAAGCAAGATAAAAATTTCTTTGTCCTTACAGTTTTCAGTCTAGTGAGGCAAACAATGTGAACATAAAACTTGCAAAGACACAGACATGCTATAAAGAAAAATAAGAGGAATCAATGAGAGTGTATAAGAGTGGGCACGTATGGTAGTTTGGAAGGATAGGTACAGCCTGCCTGAGAAACTGACATACTTGTGTCTGGAGGATAAGGAGGGCTGGCCAAGTGAAAAAGGGTAAAAAAGCATTCCAATAAGAGGGGGCAGCGGGACAAGGATGCTGGGTTGGGTAAGAAATTAGAACTTTTGAGGAAATGAAAGGAAGTCAGTATGGGTAGAGCAGAGCAATAAAGGGGAAACTGGCAGAATATGAGGCTGGAAGCAGGGGCCAGGGCCAGACGACCAAGGCCTTGGAAGCTCAAATAAAGTAATGGGAAGGCACTGAAGCATTCCCCAAGGAGGAGAAATGGCCTGGCCCCTGTGCTGCGGTGCGGGCGCACTGGAAATCAAGGAGCAGTGAAGGGGGACTGTTGTGATGATCCAGCAGAGACCTTGTGAATGGCATGGTGAGTGAGGCAGGGCGCTTCAGGAGACATTTTGGAGTCAGAATCGACAGCAGTCCGTTGTGAATTGGATGGAAGCAGCGAGGAGGAGGAGAGAAGCCATTTCTGAGTTGACCACTTGAGTTGCCTGAGACACCACATTTTGAGGTGGGAAAAACTGGAAGAAGCAGGCTGGGAGAAGGACAGGGGTTTGGGTTTGGACTCGTAGAACTGAAGGCACCTGTGAGACAGCCATCTGGGAATGAGACATAGGCAGGTGGATAAATTGACCTGGAGCTCGAGGCACAGGCTTGAACTGAAACATTTTTTTTAGAATATTACATCAGAATAGTCTTTACATTGTTAAAATGCTACCAGTGCAATTACAGAGTTCGTTTAGTTAATTTGAGACCCAGCATAGTTACCACCTAAATGTATTTATTCCTATTCAGAACATATCACTTGTAGCAGATGGATGGTATTCAGGATAAGCAAACATGAAATGCCTGCCAGTTACATAAAATTTACTTTTAATGGATCACCCAAGTAATAATATATAATTTTTATAGTTAAATGTTATATAAGAAAAACATAATATTAATTACAATCCCAACACACATTTTTTTTTGCACACATATACTTTGGGGGAGCTATAAAAAAATGACTGAAGGGAAGGGAAGGGAGTAGACAAACAGTCAAGGAGCATTTACAGCAAAGGAGAAGGCTAGCAGTGCAACCATAATAAGGATTTAATTGAAGAAGCAGAGTCAGAAAAAAAATTGTATTCATGTACTTACCGATTTTTATTGAGCATCTACTGAGTACCAGGGACTGTTTTCAATTCCAAAGCAAGAATCAGAGACTTCAGAGTGGTTTGCTGGCATGGGTTTAAAACCTCATTGCCAACATTTAAAATCTGGACTATTTAACAAAAATAAATAAATAAATAAATTTCTGTCTTGCCTTAAAAAGTCAGAAGAGCTAGCACCATGGGGCCTGAATTCCTGCCTGACAACAATGGCCTGAACCTGAGTCACCTTGGCCTCTTCAGGGGTCATGCTCTATCCTGGGGTACATGCAGTCCCTAGGACTCCCCAGTGTCTCCCTCTTATTTTACATGCTTCCAACTTCCATTATTCTTTTATGGTACCTTCCTGCCCCTGGAGAGTTTGTGACCCCTGCTTGAGATACAAAATCAAATGCTACATTGCAGCCGCCACTCATGCCAAAGGCAAAGCAGAGAGTGATGTGACTAGATCTGCACTTTAAAAAAAATGACTCTCATGACAGTGTGGAGCCTGGGCTGGAGCTGAGCGGGCAATTGAGCTAGTCATCAGAGTAATTAAGAGGGAGTGCAGGTATGCGGCCGGCTGCAGGCTAGGGCAGTGGGAGGGGTGCGAGCTGGGCGGGGGTGGATACCTGCGGCTGTGAGGAGAGACCTGCACACACAGTCATGGGATGGGCGTGTTCTCTGTAATAATTACTAACATCTACATGCCTGTTCAAACAATAATCTGAAGTCTTTGCCATGCCTGTGAATTTATAAGATGACACATGCAATTATGCTTTTCAGATAATAAACCAGACAAATTTCAAGACACAACACCTCGACTTTCTTACAATATTAATTAGCCAATTTGAGCTGATAGACATAAAGAGAACTGCAACTAATACTCTCTGAGGGGCAAATATTTTATTTCTGGCAGTTGGTTCTATACAATTTAAATTGCACTTCACTTTCAGGAAACTATAGATAAGCTATTCTAGAATGATGTGTAGTTTCAAGCATATTTTTCTTTATGGTATTTATTTTTAAATTATAATATGTGTGTATTAAATCACATAACTTAGTAAAGATTATTATAATTCTGAAAATAGTAAATATAAGTGTTGGAACCATGAATGTGACTACATGAATGTTACCTCATTATGTTCCCTGTTTAGTACCTACATGAAAACGGGATTGTCCATCGTGATCTCAAACCAGAGAATCTTCTCTATGCAACTCCAGCCCCAGATGCACCACTCAAAATCGGTGAGGACATATCCTATGACCCCTTTTCCCAGAGCAGGAGAAATTTATTCTATAGAATTTTAAAATACAGCTCCATCCAATTTCCCCTCCATTTAATTTCCTCGAATATTTGCTATCTGTAAAGGAATAAGGCACAGTTTCAAAGTCTGGAATATTAATCTGGAATTAGTACCTAAAATTAGTGCCACGTTGCTGGACATACAAAGGAATCACAGCTCTTGAAAACAACAGAAACTTTAGGAGGTGGCCTTGTATTTTGTAGATATGTTTATATAGAAGAAAATCACAGATAACCTAACACTTCTTTTTTGTTATTAGCTGTTATTCCACAAATTAGATGGAACTTAATTTTAGATCATCAAGAACTTTGACACAAAATGTTTAGTACCTATCAGTGAATTTAGGCTCTAACTCCCTTGTTTATATGAACAGAGATCAGCTGAGATCCATATTTCCCAAAGTGTGCTCCACGGAATGCTCATTCCTCAACGAAGTGAACAAGGGTGAATAATTCCTCTTTGGGGAAGGTGCAGGCAGTTTGTGGAGATACTAATTGGTCAAATAAGTGGAAAAATGCCAACACAAACAAGATTTTCATTTTTTCAAAATTTCCCCCAAACCTAAAAAAAGGTTAATGTGCATACTGTCATCTCATATAGTAGACTGTGAGGCTTTTCCCAAAAACCTTGTTTTTTCTCCCAGTAAGCATTTTGAAGAACTGCAAAGATGAATTGTGGGAAATTCTGATATACACAAAGAGATTTTTCAATTAGCATTTTAGGAAAAAGTCAGTATATTAAATATTATTTTCCATTTGCCTTCCAAAGCAAATCTTCATTTACAAAAAAAAAATAATAAAATAAAAGTAAAATTTATTTTAGATGTATTCCCCTCAGTAGATCGGTCCTGTCTGGCCTGTACAGGGCTTGAAAATGTTTAAATTAAATCCCTGGAAGGACACTGCTCTCTTGGTGCTCTCCTTTATAGTGCAAATCTGATGAGTTCACTGCATTCATAAGTGTTAACACCTTTGAAAATTAAGTTATACAGATCATGGAAGAGCTCAAACAACATAATGTGCCTTATGAATGCAAGAACCTAAAGAAAAAGTACCGGAGCCCTGCTGGGCAGCCAGCATGTTCTCATAATCACTCCTGAAAGGCAGGGGACAGCGGGGAGGCTCCCATTTCCTTTGACATCACTTTCAAAGATTTTATCCTTAACGATATTTCTTTAAATGGATGGATAGATACTAATTTAGGCAGGAGAGCCTTTCTTTCTGAAGGACTTCCTGCTGCTTTCTCTGATAAGGATCAGCACCTCCGAGGAAAAATGGGTTTACCTTTGAAGTCTAAAATGGCATCTATTCTGCACCTGCCTCTCTTGAAGAATGGTCTTAAAAGGTTTCCTGGTGTTTCCTGAGTGGGACAGATGTAGCCCAGCAAATAGACCCCATAATGATAGCAACTTCTGATAATGTTTTATCTAGGTAATATTCTGAGGAATAAATAAAAAGGATTTTTGCAAAAAATAAAAAATAAAGCCATATTCTTCATAGAGTAAATTCTTACCTGTCGATTCACTAATGAATGATATTATTTGAAGTAGAATAAAACTATTGATGTTTCTGTTAATTTCTTTGACATTTATGAGTCTAATTTTTTTATTTTGATTTATTCCAATAGATTAAAAAGTTCCGAATTATATCACTAATTCTATATTCTTCTTTAGAGTTAGTTTCATTAATCTCAGAGTTAATATTTAACAAAATAGATCTATTTCAATTATTACTTCAAGAAGAAATAGCTTATTTGCCAAAAGCTGAAAATTATAAAGTATAAAATGTATTTAGGAATCACATTTTTCTCCAATTTAAAGCAGGACTTAAATTATTATTATTACTTTTTTTAGTTTTCTCTCCCTGGTGACTGGTCCCCATCTACATTCACCCATCATCAAATACAATAACTAACAAATAAATATATTAGTTTTATTTTGAATAAGAGAAGTATTCTGTCATCTTATAACAGCTGAAAAAAAAACTTGCTTTCTCAATTTTTTCTTGTGTTGTTAGCTGATTTTGGACTCTCCAAAATAGTGGAACATCAAGTGCTCATGAAGACAGTGTGTGGAACTCCGGGCTATTGCGGTACGCTTTTTAGTACTGATATTTTACTTTTATTGTTATTTGAAATCTATTTTTATTTAAAGTTCTGAATTTTTAAACTCCTAGTATTTTTATTTCAAATGCTTACAATTTGAGGTGAGTCTCCACAAGGAAGCATGTATAGGTGATACTCGGACCACCCCTTGTTCTACATGAGGGATTCTCTGATGTTGGTTTTAAGGTACCCCTGTTAGAACAGCAGAGGGGCGGGGGGCCCTGGGAGGAAAGACTGGGAGCTCTGCATCTGGCTTTTGGGCAGTAGGTACTCTTGGACCCGCTCAAGAGTAGAAAGACCTCACCAGGGAAGGAGTCAGGGAAAAGGCTTTGTTTGTGTTCGGCCATCAGCTCTTTGTCACTTCCCTTATTTACTTGAGATGGTATGTGAGGAAAGCATGTGTCATAGGACACATGACCACATAGGAATATAGGACAACAGAGAGAATGGGATAGTCAGTAGTGCTCAGTGATGGCACAGGCCTAGCCTCATTAACATAAGGGCTTCAGGTGCGGTTTCCCCCACAGAATTCCCTAGTCTCTGAAGATGGACAGAGCAACGGTCCTCACGTCCTCCCACCCAGACTCCTGGGGCTGTCTGAAGGCACCCCATGTACAGTACACAATGGAGAGGCAGAAAAATAGCTGTTAATCCACGTCACTATGAAACTCATCCTTTTTTTTCTTGATGGCTAAATTAATCTGGCAACAACCTAAAGCTTGCAAAAATTATCAAAAATTTCTAAAGATTTTGTGACTAACAGATATGTCACAGATCAATTAAAATCCTAAACCAGAAAAGAGACAAGAGTACATATTATCAGTCACAGGATTAGCCATCATTTTCTTTTAGGATCATCATCTTTTTACACAGATCTTCCTTCACTTACTCACCTCGTCAGCAAAACCACCTGCTGTATACTCAAGCCAGTGCTTGGGACCAGGGAGATGCATTTTCAGCTCCCAGCTCCTCCTGAGGAGCTCACAGTCTATAGGGGAACAGATTTGTAAACCAAAAAAAGTGTAGCACCTCAAGAGATGCCGTTTCATGTGCATGGAAAAGCCACTATGGAAACATAGGAAAAGGGTGATATTTGGAGTGACCTGTCTTATTCTTCCATGTCTTCAGAAATAGACATGTAAAAGCTACGTAACCAACTCATTTAAACAACTTCTGAATTCATAGAAATCAGACTAGAGAAGTGCAGTATGGCATCCACCAAGACAACATAGAATTAAATCCACAGAATTTAAATGTTGGAAGAAACTATAAAGTTTATTTACTAACATTCTCATTGTACTAAGGTACAATGGCTATGATTTCCCCAAGATTCCATATCTAGTAGTTAGTGGATCAGAGATGAGAATCCATGTATCTAAGGGCCAATGAACAGAATTGTAGAATTTCCTATTTTAAAAAAAAAGAAGCAATTTATTTACCTGGTAGGGGAGATACCATGATCATGAAGCCGGCCTTCCCAGGGTGAGGCTTGTCCATTGTTTTCCGGATGTGCTGACCCCTGCAATGTCCCCAAATGTGGGAAACTCAACTGCATAATTTGTAGGGAGTTGGGAGAATGCATTTGTGGTCTCCCCTGGCACAAAAAAAAAAACAAAACCAAAAAAAAAAGAAACAAAGAAAACAATATAGATAAATCAACATAGTTTTCCTTTATAGAAATATTTATCAGTTATTACTTTCAGTTTAAAATATTTTCTATTTTAATTTTTAAATCTCAAAACTATTACTAGGTTATTGTAAGATGTAAAAATCTAAATACCTGTAATCAATATTAGTAGCCTCATGCATTCTTTCTCCTCTTTCTTCATGTTTCCATGTTTGTGTAAACTTTTTATAATTTTGTTATTAACTAGTTAGCTTTTCTGGTAAATCTAAAATATTATTTTCTTCTCAATTATTCATAAATTCAATAATTACACAGAATTAAATGTACTTATTTTTTTATCAGATCTTTGTATTGTGCCAAATATTTTTGTTCTGGATCTTAAGTTCTTTGAGGACAAGGGTTGTTTATCATAAGGAGTAAATTCAGAAAAATCAAAATAATTGTGTCTTAAACAAGATAGAAGTTATTTTTTTCATGTTAGAAGTCTCTATATAGGCAGTCCTGGTGGCTTCCACAGCTATGGCTCAGCAGGTGTGATGGTTCTTAGTGCCAGGGATCTAGGATTTTTTTCTGTCTTGCTCCACCATTTTTTAGTATGCTTCCTCATGGTCCAAAATGGTTGCTTAAAATCAGTTATTACATCTGCAATCTATACAACAGGAAGGAGAAAATACTAAAAATGAGTGTACCCTTTCACTATTACATAGACTTGCTAAAGCCCCAAATGTCATTTTCACTTATATCTTATTGACCAGTACTTAGTTTCAGCCTTCACGCTGCCACAGGAGCTGGACATGTTGCAATCCCAAGTGAATTCAAGGTTCTGTTACTAAAGATGAGTATTGCATTAGACAACTGTTTATCTCCACCACAAACTTAGGAGTAAGATTCCCATTCCTGGGATGGGGGGGTGGGGGGACTGAAAACCATTGGACTGCACCATGTCCCCTATAGGAAGCTTCTTGCTTTGTTCTTATATACAATAAAATATTTTATAACCTATAGCACTGGTAGTAGACAACCTTCTCTTCTAATGGTACTGTGTGTACTTTCCCTTTCTCTAATTCATATGTCTTTATCCATCCTCCTTCTATATTTCTTTCATGTCTCCAGATCTCCAAGACTATGGGAGAGAAAAGAACTCTGAATTCAGTACCATGTGCCAAATGGGGTTGCCCATTTATGATCACTAATTGCTGACTAATTGATAGAATTGAAAGAAAACTGAGAAAAGAATAATAAAACAAATTAAGGATTTCCCACAAGAAAGCTGATGAGAAAGTTAGTAACTGTTATCTAGTACCAAACACTAAGGAAGGATAACCTCCTTCCAAGGAGGTTAGCATGTTGGAGGGATCCCCTGAGAACTGAACAGCTCTACCATGGAGAGATCAGGCATATATTACATTAGTGATCTCTCTGAGTCCCTCTGTGACTGAGAGAGAGCAGCAACCTTTCAACGGCTTTAATAATGGTGATAAGAGCAGTTCTTCTTTGCACCATTAAAGAATGGTCATTCTATGAATGCATGATTCATTCATTGATAAAATGAACATTGGCTGACTAATAGACTCTATTCTAAACACTGGGATTACAAGAGTAGATACAGTATGGTCTTGCCCTTCAAGTATTTTCATGGGCTATGAAAGACCTGTACACAATAAATCAAAGTTTGTTGTGGTACATTTTTTATTTATCTGAGCCAAAGGCTCAAGATTACAGATCGGGTAGAGCAATTAATCCTGCTTAGAAAGGTCTTCACAGAGGAGGAGCATTTAAACTGGGCATCGACGGATGAGTAGGAGTTTAACAAGAGTTGGCCACAAGGCACTCTTAGTTGGCAAGCATAGGAAAGGTCACAGAGGAGTGGTCACATCTGGCAATTCAGGGACTTTTTACTTTGTCACTGTTCATGACTGGAACATAGACTCCTTGGTACAGAGGATATAGATGGACTTGGAATGGTAGGATGGAACATATTTTCAAAGAATTTGTACATCAGTCTAAACAATTCAGGCTTGTTTTTGTAGATAATAGTGATCTCTCAAAGATTCTTAACCAGAGCTATCATATTTTAAATCAAATCTGGATTTTATAAATACCCTGACAACGATGTTATGACAGATGGATCTGAGGAGAAAAGAGGTCAAAAGAAGACAAATTAGAAAGCTATTGTAAATGCTCTTTCTTGTCACTCATAAACAGCATCTAAGCAGATAATGTTTTTGATCTACTGCTAAATCTGCTCACTTATTTTTTAGATATAAAATGATTGTAAAAGGACTAGGTCAGATGCTTGTCCTTGCCATAAACAAACCTATCTTATAGATAATGCCACCTTACAGGGAAGGCTTATTTTCCATTTACTATTTTTTTCCCTGCAAATATCCTTATCACCCGAGGGGCTGCATAATGAGAAAAGAGGGAGTTGAGTGGTTGGACGTTATCAAGATAATCCTTCCACTCTGCTGTATAGGCAGAGGCTCACCAGGAATGAGGTATTTGCTATATTATAAGAAAAGGAGGAGAAAGAAGCAAGAAAGCTGTGGTGGTGAGGAGAGAATTGAGATGGAAACTGTAAGTGCTCTGAAGTACTAAACATATGCATAAAATCACTTTTATAGGTTGAGGCAGGCTTGGAGGTCAAAAACAAGTTCAATGTAATATTTAGTTACCAGAGCATGGTAAAAATTATATATAAATAAACACTATTTCTACATTCTCTTGACTCAAAAGAAATACACTAAAATATTATCTTATAGTGGGAATAAGTGAAGGGGCAGGATTTTAAAAATATACCTGTGTACAGTAACACAGAAAAACTGAAAAGCTTAGGACAAAACAGAAGTCATAGTAACATCAGGGCATAGGAAGTAGATTACCTAGATCAGAGGAAGATGCAGAGTTCTGAATTTTTTAAAATTTAATATAATAATGACTATTTCTGTGTATCTGTCTTACCACTAGATCCTTTATGGACAAGGCTAAAGCCTGCTGTGAGGTTCACCATCAGTTCAAGCCCTTTCTCCCCTCACCACATATTAAGTACTCTCATTAGTTCGATATGTGTCCTTATGAGATACTTAGGTGGGGAGGAAACTGTCCCTTTATAGTATGAGTTGAAAATGAGATCCAAGTACAAGACTGGTAAGGATCACTGTCATCTATGGGAAACATGACTACACACAGACTTTAACTTAAAGTGTCTGAAGCCCATATAATTGACAGAGAAGGAAGGTGTGAGCCTGTTTCCTTGCTTATAGGAGAGATTACATCCTAGGTCAGTTATCCTTATGCACACTAGAAAGTGAGTGTTTATGTCATTCATCAAGAAATAAAAAAAAGGAAGAGCCGCCCATTCGGTCTCATTCATTAAACACTTTGTCTCAGGCTTGTAATACTAGAGGGTTCTCCTATAAGTAAATCTCAAAATAAAATCACAGCTGCTGTGTGTTTAAGCAAATATTATTTCCTGGGAAATGTGCCCAGTTGAAATGAAACTCCAGGCCAGAAAATTAAAATTTGTGACCAATCTAAATGAAATCAATGACTAGTTCTCTGAAATGGCCCGTGTAGAATTCAACATGAAAGAAATTCTCGACTTGCGGTCAAGATGGCAGCATAGGCAGACATAGCTCACCTCCTCCCACAACCACATCCAAATTACAACTAAAATATAGAACAACCATCACTCAGAACCATCAGAAATTGATCTGAATAGAAGTCTGACAACTACGGAATTAAAGAAACCACATCCATCCAGATCAGTAGGAGGGACGCAGAAGCAGAATAGGCTGGTCCCACATCCACCTATGGTGGGTAAAAATTCTGGAGGAATATCTCAAGAGTGAGGAGTCCCAGCCCCATACCAGGACCCCCATCCCAGGGTTCCAGTGCCAGGAATATCAGTCCCCACCACCTCTGGCTGTAAATTCAGTGGGGATTAATTCAGTGGAAGAAACTTCTGGAGCCCCAAGCAGTTCCACTTAAAGAACCCACAAGTAAACTCACCTGTTTAGACTCACTCCCTCTGAGCTCCAGCACTGGGGTAGCAGCTTGAAAGGCACCAGTGCATAAGGTAGAAACTGAAGTGTCTGACATCAAGACGAGCAGAGGCAATTGTCCCCTTTCTAAACTCTCCCCGCACAGAGCCAAAAGCCGGCAAGATGGTACCATATCTGAGGCCCCATCAACCTGGCTAACACTGTTTGCCCTGCCCTGGAGAGTCTTTGAGGCTTCGCCCCACCTGACTTACAGGCACCCCCAAGCTGCTTTTACACATGAATGGCTGGTCTTGGCTCATGCTTCACAACACCCTAAATCCTATCAAATGTTCAGCAGCTGGCTTCAGTGAGCCCCAGGCCCATGCACTAGCAACAACCAGCTTAGATTCATAGCCTGGCTTCACCTGGAGATCTCCAAGCACAGCACAAGCAGCAGCCATCTCAGATTGTTTTATAGCTCAGGCAGGGTATCCTGGGCAAAACACAGGTGGGGGCTGACCTTGCCCTGTAACACATGGGAAACCCCAGAGCCTGTGCCCCTTGCGGGCAGCTACAGACCACATTGGACCACCACCATCCCACCCCTGTGCAGCTGATCCTCCACAGAGGGCAGATGGTGGTGGTCAGTGGTCATAGCCAGTCCTTACAGCTGACTGGCCTGGGTAAATGCTTCCCATTGACCTGCCAATAGCAACCAAGGCTCAACTACAAGAGGAGGGTGTGCTCAGCCCACAACAAGGGCGCACCTTGAGTACCCAGCTTGGTGGTAGGGGAGGCTGTGCCACTGGACCCTACAGGACACCTACTACATTAAGCCACACCTCCAAGACTCACAGTCAAAGCTGCTCTACCTAATACATAGAAACAAACACAGGGAGGCTGCCAAAACAAGGGGACAAGAAACTTGACCCAAATAAAAGAACAGATTAAAACTCCAGGAAAAGTGATAAGCAAAATGGAGATAAG